CTTCAGTAAGGATATGTTCAGCTAGTTTCGATTTATCGATGTTTCTTTTCTTTATATTGTACTTATGTTCCTTCGTCCTTACTGAAAGAGGTCTCTTGACAAGAGGAGGAGAGAAAATCCCAAAAAATTTGGAATAATGAATGTACCACCTCCTCGATTAACCTACAGACAGTATTTGAAAATGATAATGTTTTGTTCAATGGAACTGACGAAAATTTATATATCTCTATTTCCTGTTGCCATAAAAAAAATATTTTTGGGTTTTCTCAGAACGTTTTCTCAAAATATTTTTCATGTTATACCTACGACTCAATTGAGACAGACATTGAACAGAGATACATTCTGAATCCCATTATTATACAGGGTGTTTCACAGGTAGAGGAAAATATTTTAGTGGTAGATAGGGGTCACCAAGGTGGTTCTGAAAATACCATATTCGATAGGTCTTAGAGTCTTCATTACGGAGACACAGGGCGATTTTTCGATCTCAAATAATTATTCATTCGTCTATATGTATTGACCTACCTAGCTTATTTTTCTTAAATTTTGTAAGGAGCTTATACTTGGGACGTTGGATCCATTCACCTATCAAGTGGAGTGGAAATCCAGGTTCGGCTTCAGGAAAAATTTACATTTATTCGAAATATTAAAATAACACACTGTATTCAGTAATTAACATAGTACATCAAAAAAATTGTGAAGAGGAGGAAAAACTGATTTGGGTTTGATGCTTTTTGTTTTTCCGCACCATTTCTCATCGTAAAATCATAAACAGAAAGTTGAAAGTATATATGTCAATTTTAAGAGTACTGAAATTATGAAACCAGTGTCAACTATGATTATTCGATATTTTACTCAAAAAATCGGTCGAAAGAAATCACTAAGTCTCACAGCCTTTATAACGGAGATACAAGGTGAATTATCGGTTTTGAATAATTATTCACTCGTCCATAAGTATTAAACTACCCAGTAACATTTTCTCGAATTTGGTATGTACCTTTCTTGGGACGATGGATTCATTAACAGGCGGGAATGGAAATTATACCAAATAATTATAATTCGATAATTCACCCGGTATCTCTCATATCTCTGTTATAAAGAATATGAGACTTTTCCTGAAGCTGAACCTGTATTTCCATTCTGCCTATTAGTTCAATGAATCCATCGTCCCAAGAAAGCTCAATATCGTATTTGAGAAAATATTACTGCGATGGGTAGTTTACTTATACTTATGAACCAGTGAACAATTATTCGAAACCGATAATTCACCCTGTATCTCTGTTAAAGAGACTGTGAGACTTAGTGAGTTCTTTCGAACGACCATTCAACAAGAATATTTCATATAATCATAATCGAAAGTGGTTTCATAATTTTAGTACTCTTCGAATTGATATACTTTTAGCTTTCTGTTTATGATTCTTACGATGAGAATTGGTGGCGAGAAAACAAAAAGCATCAACCCCAGTTAAATATTTCCTCCTCTCGACGATTCCTTTGATTAACTCTGTCAATTATTATATACAGTGTATTATTTTAATATTTCGAATGAATATAAATTTTTCCTGAAGCCGAACCTGGATTTTCACTCCGCCCGATAGGTGAATGAATTCAACGTACCAAGTATAAGCTCCATACCAAATTTCAGAAAAAATACCGGGTAGTTCAATACTTATAGACGAATGAATAATCATTCGAAATCGATACATCGCCCTGTATCTCCGTTATGAAGACTCTAAGACCTATCAAATATGGTATTTTCAGAACCACCTTGCTGACCTCTATGTACTATTGAAATATTTCCCTCTATCTGTGAAACACCCTGTATAGTAATTGAATTGAACCATATATTCAATTGTGAAACAAGAATGAAATGGATGTATAAGATAATAAGGCATCATTGTATGTACATTACAAAAAAAATCCCTCTATGATGGCCAATGCGAGCGTAATGGAGAGGTGCTCCATCCTGCTGAAACCAGATATCATTTGCATGGTAGTTTTTCTTTTTCCTCCAGCGCCGGATTCACTTGTGTATTCAACGAATTCAAATATCAGTCTGCATTCAAATTGTCTTCTTAAAAAAGGCACAACAATCATGTTGGAGCAAATACCAGCCCAAACGTTCAGTTTTCGGGAATGTTGCACACATGAAAGTAATTTCTTCCTTCAATAAAATATGCTTTGAATCAAGATTATGGCTTGTTTATATATACTGGAATAAACGATTGCTTGATTTGAGAATATTCCATTTCCAATTCAGTAGTTTCCTACCAAACGTATAGGTTGCTTTAAATATGAAGAATTTGGTATTCTTTATATGAGTACAGTAACAACTCCCAGATAGCACACAATCGCCTAGGGTCATCCTCAATGTGTCGCCAAACGCCTAGAGAGGACGTTATCTTTTCTACAACCTAAGAACATCATCAGGCGTAGATTTAGCGCCGTAATTGTTCTAGAAAAGTTCTTTCAGTGACAGCCTGAGGCTGCAGTGGATGTCGTGCCTACGGATGTCTTCAGATGACATTCCATGAAAAAACGTGTCGACGAAGCCAAAAGGAAGAAGAAGAAGAGAACTAGAAATACTAGAAGTGAGGTTATGTCCCATATTAATAATATTTCTCTGAGAAATTGATGAGATAATAAGAAATACAGGTAATTAATTAACAAATCATTGATAGTAGGTACAAGACATGAAATATTGAATATTTCATTTTATTTCTGGAGGTTATTGAGAACACAAACTTGATGATATCATCAGAGCAGAGATATTTCATTCCAAGATATTTTGGCTTCTACAGAATCTATCAAACATTGTATGAAGGCTTGAACTTTCAGTGGATTCAATAAAGATGGGTACCTACCTGAATCAACTCATTGATAATAGGTAGTGGACATGAAATATTAATACATTATTATTTGTTCCAGGAGGTTATTGATGAGAACACAAACGTGATCATTATATTATCAGATCAGAGATGTTTGATATTCCAACATATTTTGGCTTCTTTGGAATCTATAAAAGATTGTATGCAGGCTTGAACTCTCAGTAGATTCAATGAAGGTAGGTATCTGAATCAAAGCACTGATAGTATAGGTAGGTACTGGACATAAAATATATTAATACATTATTTATTTCAGAAGGTTATTGAGAACACAAACTTTTGATGCTATCATATCAGGGCAGAAATGTTCAAATCAAAGATATTTTGGCTTCTTCTGAATCTATAGAAAATTGTATGCAGGCTTGAACTTTCAGTAAATTGAGCATCAGATAGGGTTCAGAAATCACAAATGATAACAGGAACAGAACTTACAACAAAATTAGAACAAAACAAAAATCATCATAATGTATTATTATTATGTTGATTTTTCTCTGAGGAAGAAAGAAACAAAGGTAGGTGGATCAAATCATAGATATTACATGGATATGAGATATTGAATCAATGTGTTTCGGAAGGTTATGGAAAACACAAACTTGATGTCATCTATAAAATATCTTATGAAGGCTTCAACTTTTAGTAGATTCAGCATTAGGAAGCATATCCAGAGTTTAGAAATCAAAAACGACATAGAGAAATATTACCAATGGGCAATAACTTCTAGTAGTGCTCAACAAGAAGCTGAGATACATTTTTACGAAACCAAACTCGAAAATCTTCACCAACAAGTTATAAATAATAGGATGTAAGTTTTGATTTGAATATATTATTATTACAGGGAAATTTCGCAAATATCATGATATAAATATTTTTTCAATAAAATTTCATTTTTATCAACCTATCCCTAGACATTTTTCAATACTACCTAAAGATGTTCCCATAATGCCCTATACATGTCCCAGAAGACCTTATAGGGATGTTCTAAGACGTTATTAGGATGTAGAGAACGGTAACAGGAGGACGAGCTAGGGACGTAGTCAGGCCTCGACGTCCTGAGGACATCATTGTGAACGCCTCAGAAGAGCCTCAAAAGGTATTTGTGCTATCTCTAAACAAGAGTCTCATTGCATAGATTGTCAAGACAATCATTCTCTTCATTTGGAGAGTGGTTTTCTTGAATCAAATAACAGACATTCTTATTATTCACTGCAGATTATTTCATAATAAGAAATTGATGAGATTGGACGAATGAAATGAGGTGTTTCAAGTGAAACTACAAAATTAATTGGCGAAAATATGCAGTTAATCCTGCTTCAGAAAGAGAAATTTTTTGACCATTCAGATGGTCATCATGAATGATTGGTAAGTGAAACCTTAATGGATGGAAGTAATACTCAACATCTTGCAAAGGTCAACAGTATGAGTGAAAAGTGGCATGATGTAATTATACAATTATCAAAACCTAGAACATGTGTAACTGTTGAACATTGAGAATCTGATAACAACAAATGTGTTGTACTTGGATGAGTGACCATGCGAGGAAACGCCGCGTAAGCCCGTACATCTGTAGCGGAATAGCATATCATAGCTACAGCTACCATATCAATGAGCACAAGATATGGTACGGATATGCCGTCCTTCGGAGGGGACGTTAAGCCGGCGGTCCCGAGACCATGTATGTTGGACTCGTTAAAGATCCCTACCTCTGGTTGGAACACCAGAGGATTCGGCAAAATTTTTGGTTGGGGGTATAGTGTGCTCACCGGCGTCGGTGATTAGCCTCAGTAGCAGAAAAAGGTCGACGTTGAAGAAACGAATAAAAAAAACAAAAAACAAATGTGTTTAGATTCACTCATTCAATATCCTTCTATAACTGTATTCAATCGCTATATAACCTCGTAAATACCAGAGCCTACTTATCAGATTCTTGAATTTCATCAGATACACATGTTCCAAATTTTGATATTAGTTTTCATGTCACTTTTCACTCAGAATGTTGTTTTCTGCAAGATGTTCAGTATATTTTGAAAATAAATAAAAATTATCAGTCCAACATTAATAAAACTATTCCCAAGAATAAAACAAATAGAGAAAAACATAAAAATATCATGTATAAAACAAATTAAGACTAGAGAGTTTCAATCAGTCTCATCTGTATCATTCTTTTCTAATATACTAACATTATAATTCAGTAATTTTGTATCTGGTCTCCATTCATTAGCTCCACCTGAGAGAGTCCTCATTTTATCTTTTAATAAAAGAACTGCTGCACATGTCTTTATGGGAAGGCGATTGCGAAGGAATGTTTTGTCAGATTCAGTTGTGAGAAAGCTCTCTCTGCTGTAGCTGAAGAATGGGGTAAAGACAAAATACACTTGACTATTACCATGAGATTTTCAAACAATGGTTCACCTAATGAATTTTTCATTGATGAAACATTTTGCCAAAATTCATTTATATCAGTCTTGTTCGTTTTATCACAGCCTGTTGAAGTAATTTCTCCCAATAGCTGCCACTCTGTATTTGCAGATTCAATATCAACTTGAATATTCGGAAAAAGGTTTATGAAGTCAGCAATTGACATCACATCTCCAGATAAAATCAGGTGTAAAATTAGATGCATATTTGAGATAAGGATCATTGAATTTAAATATTTGCTTCACCTGATTGCAGAATTCAACATAAAAATCCAATGCCCTTTGCCTGAAATTATTTGAAACTGGTAGTGAAAGATTGAGATATCCAGATTTGATCAGAGCATCTAGTTTGGCACCAACATGAACATTTTCAAGTGAAACATAATTACTGGGATTGTTCACATCTATATATTCAGTCTCTATTTTTTGTATGAGAGTTTTTTTGATAAAACATTTCAATATGGTTTTATATAAAGTAGTTATTCGGTTCAAAAAAATTGGTAGTTTTGGGGTTTCTGACTGTAGCTCTATATTAACTTTTGTAATCAGTTCCAACACATAAGATAAGAACAAGAAGTATATCTTATATTCTTGATTATTGAGAGCATTCAAAATAGCTCTGGCACTGGGTAAATTATCCTCAAGAGCTTCTCTTTGGAAGAATAACCTCAAAGAATTCCAATGTTCCAACAACAGCCTAAAAATAATGTTATACAATATGATGGATGATCATTAAAAGAGTACCATTATCACAATTCACAATATGAACCAAGACCTTCAATGAGAGCCACCTAGTTTGGTTTGGATACAGCATTTTGTGGGGTTTTTCATTGGAGAAGATCTGGCATTCTTGTAGATGAGCTATTCTCTTACTACTATGAGAGAAGTAACTATATATCCCTAGCAAACTGTTCAACTGATTTGGGCAATTTCTGGGCAGCAGCTGAAGAACAAAGGTGCAATGAATGGCATGTGCATATATATATATATTTGGAACTAATTCTCTCAATCTTGCTTGGACACCTTGCCACACTCTCATCATAGTACTGGCATTGTCTGCTGCAAAACCAATAATTTTTCCATATGGAATGCCATTTCTATCCATTATTGATTTGATAGTATTAAATAGAGATTCTCCTGTGGCAGAGTGAACTTCTATCAAATCTAAAAGTCTATCCGTCACTTTTCCTTCTTTCCAATAGCGAAATATTACCACCATAGATTTTTGACTTGCTAATTCAGTGGTTTCATCAATAATAATTGAGAAATAGTTTTCTTTGATGTCAGCAATGGTCTCTTTCATGAAATAGGGAGCCAATACCCCCACAATTAATCTAGTGGCCTTTTGCCTCTTGAGACACACACCTCTAGCAATTTCTGAATCTGGATATATGGAACCGTTGAATATTGTTAAAGTATCGAGTAACAACATAGGTAAACTATGTTCACAAATATAACAACACAGTCTCGATTCAGCTTCTCTTATTGAAAAATGTTTTTTTTTGAGTTACCGGATCCATGAAAACCTTATCAATTTGTGGTGTCTCTCTAGCTGCCTTCATATTTTTTTTTATGTAAAGTTGTCTCCTGGTGTCTTTTTGAATGGAATGTGGACCCATTGATTTTTTGACTACACACCTTGCAAAATAAATATTGTGCTGATGTATCAATCCATGGAAAGTCTTTAGATATTCTCTCCATTTTGGGCATATATACCTTCTTTTTTTTGCACGTGAAGAGTTCTCTGTTGGTTTTCTCACTTGGTTTTAAGTTTTCATTTTTGTTCTCCTTCTCAAAGTACTCATCTACCCCCTCATCTAACTCCTCATCTACCTCTATTATCGCTATTGGCTCAGGCTCAGCTACCTTAGAAGTAGATGGGACTGGATCTGACTGGGTATTTTCACTATGTTGTTTGGTATTAATTTTGAAAACAAATCTGGAAAATATGAGGAACCAATATAAATAATATTGAACTATTAAACATTCCATTAATCAGAATTCAGCATACTTATCCATTTCTGCAGTTGTTTAACCTCAACCTCACATAAACTTCAACTTCAAACAGAGTCCCAATGTCAATATATTCTGTTCTGTGCCCTGTGCCACAACCACAGACAGTGAGACAGTTTAGAACTTTTGTCTCTTATGACTATGAGTTCTATGGCCATCGATCAGACCATAGTACTCAAGGATACTACACACAGTACTAGGAGCATAAAACATAAATCCACAGAAAACCGCAGTCCGTAGTTGGTGTTTTGTGAACAACCACTAAGGCCAACATAGTCATAGAACGAAATAACGAAATAGTGCCATTTTTTGTCCAATTTTCAATAGTGCATGCCATGGTGCCACTCCACAGCTGAAAGTGCCACTTTTGACACAATTGTGCCACATTTAACAACTCTGACTGCAATAGCGAGCGATTTGGACAGTGTTGCCGACTTTCATTTTGAGAGGACCATTAGGTCAAAAAGACCACAAAAATATCATGCTTTCGGGTCTCATGAAGTTGAAATATTATAATCAATATGTATTATCTCATCAACTTTTTTCAGCAACAAATATGAAGAAATATACCTATTACAAATTACCTATTTACCTATCTTGAATGCTACCGACTTTAAAACACATTAATAATTCTGAATTGATAATTTTTGTTACTTTCATATTGGTAGAGGTATAGGTATGGAAGGGCTTATGAATAGCATTCTACAAGATTTTGAGACTTGGCCAAGTTGAAATAATTATAAATGGGTACAAATTCGTACGTTTGGCAACACAACAACACGAGAAATTTGTTTTATGTGTATGTGTATGTGCCTCATCTCATCAATACCCAGTGAGGATTACTTTCCGACCAGTGCCGACAATTCTATCTAGATACTAGCTGACCCGGCAAACGTTGTTTTACCTTGAACAAGATTTTTAGGAAAAAAATTGTGAGAGAAATATTTATCAAAGAACTTTTATTATTTTATTTACACTTCCTTTCATTTTGGCTATCCATATATGCGAGATTCCTCAGTTTTTCAAACTATTCTATTTATTTTCTACTCCTTTCTAGTTCGGCTTCATTTTTTCATACTATCCTTCATTTTCTACTCACTTCTTTTCAGTTTGGCTATCAATATAAACATGTGTCATTATTTTTCAAACTAATATTATTTACTACAATAGCTGATATCAGACAAACGTTGTTTTGCTATATTTTTTTCAGTTGAATATTTATAAACACACTTTTATTATTTCATTTTCTACTATTTTCATTTTCAACTTCTTTCTAGTTTGACAATCTATCTCGTTTTTGGAACTATACTATCAATTTTCAACTTCTATTCAGTTTGGCCTCGAGTTTGGCTATCCATAAAACTTCTATTCATAACAAAGCTCATTCGTCATATTGGATCCACCATCTTGAATCAACCAATTTCAAAGTATGGAATTGTAATCTCCGACCCCGGAAATCCCCAGACAGATACAAATTTTGAATAGAATCTGATCATAATAATTACGAAACTTGTCCGCCAAATTGGATTCTCCATGTTCTTTTTTCTGATTTTGATGAACGAATCATAACCTCCGACCCCAAAATCCGCCAGATAACAATTTTCAATAAAATCGGATCATAGTCACAGAACTCGTCCGCCATATTGGATCTGTCATCATGGATTCCGAAATTTTGATGAAAGAATCATTATCTCCGACTCCGAAAACCACCAGATACCAATTTTGAATAGAATCTCATCATAATTGAAAATCTAGTCCGTTATATCAGATCCGCCATTTCGAATTTCCTAATTTTGACGGAGAATCATAATCTCCAACCCCAAAAACCTCCAGATACCAATTTTGAATAGAATCAGATCATAATTACAAAACAAGTCCGTTATATTGGATCCGCCATCTTGAATTCCCAAATTTTGACGGAGGAATCATGAGCTCCGACCCAGAAACCCTCAGATACAAATTTTGAATGAAATCTTATCATAATTAGAAAACTCGTACGCAATACTGGATTCGCCATCTTGAAATTCCAAATTTTGACGAAATAATCATAATCTCTGGAAACCCCCATGCAGATATCAATTTTCGAAAGAATCGGATCATAACTACAAAACTCGTCCGCCATATTGGATCCGCCATCTTGAGTTTCCTGATGTTGACGAATAAATCATAATCTCCGACCCCGAAAATCCCCAAATACCAATTTTGAATAAAATCGGACTACAAGACTTGTTTGCCATCTCGAATTTTCGATCACGACCGATTCTCATACCTACCAAATACGCACAAAAATTTTCCTACGAATCGGTCGAACCGTTTCGGAGGAGTTTGGCCACTAACATCATAATTTATATAAGATTAGCTTTACCATTCATATCGGACTATCATAAATCAAAGAACACATGTGATATTCTGTTATTGTTGAGGGTAAAACCCAGTTTTAATCTTCTCCTGAAGATGCTAACATAGTTAGCGAAACATGTGTCGAGGCGTTAAAAAATCGGTTTGGTAAGTGGTAAAACAGTGTAGTGAATTATCGTGCCAAAGGTTCCAGTCTTCGATATATTATATAACAACATTATAAAGCTAAAGTTATCGATGAACAATGCACAAGCAGAAAATTGAGATGAATTTTACTTGAATCATGACAAATGTAATTAGTTAGAGTAGGTGAGTGTTCCTAATGTTTTTCCGGTTTTCACGAATACACAATTCCATCAATTTTTCTTGAGAATGCATTAATCTTCCAAATGGTTGAGGATCAGATATGAGGTCATTTAAGAGATGTTCAATTCAGTCCTGCAACTCTTCACGTGAATTCACATTTATCTCTGTAGCAGACTCGTTTCCATACGTCCAAACTGTGTTATCTATGTTTTCAGTAAAACTCATTTCGATATCATTCTTGTGGTGAATCGTTATTCAATTGATAACTTCAGAATCAGGATGAGGCTAGTGTTTTTGCTTTCAAACAAATAGGTTTATACTAGCAAGAGTTGTTATAAATTCATTATTTTCAAATCGGAATATTCCGGAAACGATACAAAATACCAAATTTCACCTTCTTGTTGTAAAATTTAATGATTGATTTTTAAGTTCAATTGTTCAAATTTGGACCGATAATTTGTTAGTAGTGAATTAGAGCGATAATTTTTTCACATTTGGATCTTCGTTCAAAAAAGGAACCCATAGACTGCGTTATTGGTTGGATGTTCTGCCTTTTTTTCATTAGATAGCCTACTTGGTTGAGGTCACGTGACTTTTGCTACATATTGAAGGTTATACATATTTTCAACTTAGTCGCTGATATAGGCATGTTTGTTTGAAATCCATACAATTTCAGTGAGGAGAGTTGTTTCTCGAATTTGAACATTATATTAAAATTCTCAGTTTTTGATATTCCGTCCATTGCCACGAAATGTCTGTGATGTTGAAATAATATCACCGACAATACTATTTCATTTTAGTAGCTTTCTCATGCTACCTATTTTCAATCACTAATTATCGACAAAAATATGATTTTATCTTGAAAATAATAATCCTCGCTTCAAGTTTCTGTTATATGTTCTCTTGCATTCAGGCGGAATTTATTGAACTTGATTTTTCAGTATTAAAGTAATGCCACATCTAACAGAACTTTAGGACAGTTTTGTCGAAGCTACAGTTGGGATGAATAAAAAATATGAAATACTGAAAGTTGAAATTCAAGACACATGTGTAAGATTGGGATAGGAACAACTATTCCTATAGTGAACTCTTTTGAAACTCTAACAATAAGATTAATTCAAAAACATGTGATTTTTGAAATGTACCAAGAGTCACGTGGTTACAACCAAGTATATAGGCCATTTCAACGCACAAGTCGAATTTCGGAATGATTTATCATTAGAAGTTTCTCCCAACTTCATGAAAGACACAGTATATTAGAATTAAAAACAAAACTAGAATACTTTGGACAAACAAATCACAAATCAAACTATCATTAGCGTCTATTATATCTATTACATTTATGTAACAAATAATGAACAACTCTATTGGGCTAACATTTTTAGCGGGGGGGAGAGAGAGGTAGGGGGTAGGGGTAGTTATGCCCATTACCCTCCATATCGACGCCATTGAACGTGCGAGCAAACGAGATTGATCAATTTTTCCGTCGACTATATTTATCATTTCGTCCGCAGTGAAGAAAACTTGGTTCGCGAATTCATCATATTATTATTCATCCGCGGAAACTACAAAGAATCACCCAAGTAGCCTTGTCACTAGTGACATTAGACATGTTCATTTTAATCATCACGAAAAATGAATTCCTTAGATAGAACAGGGAATGAAATTGTTTCAGAAACTTGGAAAGTCGTTGACGGAAAATCTCCGATGAAATCCATATTTTCGATTTAAATGCAGATTAAGTATAAGTTATAACATAAACAGTGAATGTACGCGATGCATTTTTGGTGGCCTATGCTACAATAATGCATTAATACACAAAATAATCATTGATAATAGTATATTATGTAACAAGTGTTATAAACGTCCTTTTAGTAATGAGTATTTTAAGCACGAGCGGAGCAGAGCGGAGCGAGTGTTTAATAAACGAGTGTCTAGAAGAGTTTATTAACGCGTTACATACTAGGTATGATTTTTCTACGAACTCCGAAAATTACATTATAACATACCTGCAATTCCTGCTAACCTACAAAATAATTCGAAAGGAATGGGAATTCAGAACATAATACATGCAACTGCATGCAACCAGCGAGCCACGTATAAGTGATATTGGTTGTAGATGTGTCCAGTCCATTTCTTACTAACCTTTGTTTCACGTTTATTGTCATGCTTAGCTCAGAATAAATAAATTGTTCTCAAAGATGGATGCTTCATTTTTACACTTCTTGGAGATATGCAACTACTAGAACATTCTCTTCGATTTCACTTTCGTCTACATTTCGCATATATCTTTAATAAAGAATTCTGATACAAACGAATATTGCTTGAATAATTCTGATACA